TTGCTTATAAATTGGCTGCACATATGTTGTCCTATCGTCTTACATTTCATTGGATCCAACCCAAAACAAAAGTTGCGCGGTGATACCTGCGCGAAGACTCAGTTTTTCGCTGAGTGGACCTACTGGTTATACTGTGTTTATACCAAGTATATTTAATGCTTGTACTAACTAGTAATTTTCTATTAAATTGATCTGTTTTAATGAATCTGAAAATGAGCATCTCAGCAAAAATCTTAAAGGTACGATTTTACTCGCTCAAACCAGCTGTTTCGAACGACAGATTTGTTATTCTTATTCTAACAGAAATTTTGTAATTTAAACAGTTCCTGACAGCTGCGTTTGATGCTCAAACGTTATGCGGTATGAAAGTTGACATAACTCAATTTATAATTCAGTAAATTAGTACCGGTTACGGTAGAGCTTCGTAAGAAACCCTTGGTCACTAAAAGAAGTCGAAAATGTAAAAATCGTTTAAAGGATACCAGAGTACTGCAATAATGTAGATGACGAAGTAAGTACATATATATAATTAATTAAGTTTTTTATATAAATTTTATTTTACAAAGACAAATTCTACTCATTTAAGGATGTTTGGGATGTACAATATAAGCTAAAAGCTATCAAAATTTAAAATTTACGGATTTTTTAGGTTTGTATCGTTTAAAAATAAAATAAATAATTTTACATTACATAAGAAGTTAAACTTTTAGTGAAACAACATGATTTTTCATGTCTTCAAGAATAAAAATATTTATAATTAATATTTTTCTTAATCAACGAGAAAAAATTTTGGTCGTGAATATGCCCTGAAATCAACTAAGGGTGAAGTCCCATGAAGCGTATTTGCCGCGTATCGCGTAACCGTGTAATCAATCAGAAGCGATCATGGGCGTCCGCAGGGGGGGGGGCAAGGAGGGGCATTTGCCCCCCCTGGAATCAAACAAGTATAAGAAAATTCAAAATTGGCTTTCTTATTTTTACAAATAATAAAATAATAAATATGTTTGTCAAATGTGA